AGCTTTGTTAAGACAGAGGGTCTCATAACCACAGCTTTGTTAAGACAGAGGGTCTCATAACCACAGAAGCCATGCTCTGGCCCTGAGGAGAGATCATTATAAGGGACACAGTACAACATATCAGTGGGAACAGGATGTAACTGGAGGGAGAGGGAGAGAGATTTTCCATCTAGTGGGAAGCCTGCCTCAGAGAATAGCTTAAAGTAAGAGGGTGACTGTCATAGATGGGGTGATGGGGCGTGCCCAGAGGGGTGACTGCCATAGATGGGGTGATAGGGGCATGCCCAGAGGACAGCCTGAAGAGAGCATAGAAACACCTGACCACATCCTTCCAGGCAGGGTGGCAGGACAGCCTGTGTTACAGGGGGGCGTATAGAACAGAGCTATAAATAGGGACTGTGATATCACAGCATATCTATTCTTTATGACTCAGAGAGAAAACTGCAGTAGGGCATGGCCGGATTCCTTCAGGTTTGGGGCTCTGGCTCCTTAGAATGAGACATTGTGAAGCCTGCCCCCCACATAGTCTGGAGCTGTGGCGGTGTCCTTTGCCAAGCTGACTGAATTCACTGACCCCGCTGAAAACCGTAGCAGAAACTTTACTAAGGATTTGGTTTGGAACAGCAAATCTACCCAAGCATTCCAATTCCCCTGAGCCTTTGAATCCCTTCATCCACACTGAGCCAGGAGCATTAGACATCTCCTAAGGAACAGCAGGCCATCTTTTGTCCTGTATATCAAAATCAACAGCCGGTCAATCAAATAAACTCTTGGCACCTTCTTTTTAAAGCACATAGACACACACATACACGCACGCACACACACATGCATATAGTACACACGTTTTGTCTGCGTATAGGTTTGCATCACGCGCATATCTGGTGCCTGTGGGGTGAGAAGAAGGTGTTGGATCCCCTGGGACCGCAGTTACAGATGGTTGTGAGCTGTCGTGTGGTTCTGGGAATTAAACTTGGATCCTCTGGAAAAGCAGCCAGTGTTCTTAGCCACCGAACCATCTTTCTAGACCACTTGGCACCTTTTCTTAATTAAATGATCTACAACATTAAACCTACACTCTCTGCTCAATGAAGTCATACTGACAAACTCTTCCTGGCCTAGTTTTATGTATTTTCCAGCATTATCCCACTCCCTCAAAATCCATTCCCACCCACAATGCCCAGATTTCCATTTGAATGAATTAGCAAGCCCATTATGTTCTTTATGGGTATAGCGCACCTCCTCATGGCCAGTACTTCCTATCTCTGCTCTAGAGGCCTGGCTAGCTAGGGATCAATATGATGGGACACTGTTTAGATTAGTGCTGCTCTCAACATTGGTCAGGGCAGCTTCATTTTGCAGTGGGCATCATAACTGGTCAAAGCAGCAAGAATAAGTGATGGTTGAGTCAGGGCCCTCAACGAGATATTTCTACACTTATCCACCAATGCTC